GAGGGGGACACACTATGTGGGGTGTATATTTCTGAGGGGGACACACTTTGTGGGGTGTATATCTCTGGGAGGGGGGGGGACACGCTATGTGGGGTGTATATTTCTATGGAGGGGGACACGCTATGTGGGGTGTATATCTCTGGGAGGGGGACACGCTATGTGGGGTGTATATCTCTGGGAGGGGGACACGCTATGTGGGGTGTATATCTCTGGGAGGGGGACACGCTTTGTGGGGTGTATATCTCTGGGAGGGGACACGCTATGTGGGGTGTATATCTCTGGGAGGGGGACACGCTATGTGGGGTGTATATCTCTGGGAGGGGGACACGCTATGTGGGGTGTATATCTCTATGGAGGGGGGACACGCTATGTGGGGTGTATATCTCTGGGAGGGGGACACGCTATGTGGGGTGTATATCTCTGGGAGGGGGACACGCTATGTGGGGGGGTATATCTCTATCTCTGGGAGGGGGACACGCTATGTGGGGTGTATATCTCTGGGAGGGGGACACGCTATGTGGGGTGTATATCTCTGGGAGGGGGACACGCTATGTGGGGTGTGTATATCTCTCTGGGAGGGGACACACTATGTGGGGTGTATATCTCTGGGAGGGGACACGCTATGTGGGGTGTATATCTCTGGGAGGGGGACACGCTATGTGGGGTGTATATCTCTGGGAGGGGGACACGCTATGGGGTGTATATCTCTGGGAGGGGGACACGCTATGTGGGTGTATATCTGTTTGAGGGGGACACGCTATGTGAGGGGTGTATATCTCTGGGAGGGGACACGCTATGTGGGGTGTATATCTCTGGGAGGGGACACGCTATGGGGGTGTATATTTCTATGGGGGGGACACGCTATGTGGGGTGTATATCTTTGGAGGGGACACGCTATGTGGGGTGTATATCTCTGGGAGGGGACACGCTATGTGTATGTGGGTGTATATCTCTGGGAGGGGACACGCTATGTGGGGTGTATATCTCTGGAGGGGGACACGCTATGTGGGGTGTATATCTCTGGGAGGGGGGACACGCTATGTGGGGTGTATATCTCTGGGAGGGGGACACGCTATGTGGGGTGTATATCTCTGGGAGGGGACACGCTATGTGGGGTGTATATCTCTGGGAGGGGACACGCTATGTGGGGTGTATATCTCTGGGGAGGGGACACGCTATGTGGGGTGTATATCTCTGGGAGGAGGGGACACGCTATGTGGGGTGTATATCTCTGGAGGACACGCTATGTGGGGTGTATATCTCTGGGAGGGGACACGCTATGTGGGGTGTATATCTCTGGGAGGGGGACACGCTATATGGGGTGTATATCTCTGGGAGGGGGACACGCTATGTGGGGTGTATATCTCTGGGAGGGGGACACGCTATGTGGGGTGTATATCTCTGGGAGGGGACACGCTATGTGGGGTGTATATCTCTGGGAGGGGACACGCTATGTGGGGTGTATATCTCTGGGAGGGGAACACGCTATGTGGGGTGTATATCTCTGGGAGGGGGACACGCTATGTGGGGTGTATATCTCTGGGAGGGGACACGCTATGTGGGGTGTATATCTCTGGGAGGGGGACACGCTATGTGGGGTGTATATCTCTGGGAGGGGGACACGCTATGTGGGGTGTATATCTCTGGGAGGGGACACGCTATGTGGGGTGTATATCTCTGGGAGGGGGACACGCTATGTGGGGTGTATATCTCTGGGAGGGGGGACACGCTATGTGGGGTGTATATTTCTGGGAGGGGGACACGCTATGTGGGTGTATATCTCTGGGAGGGGACACGCTATGTGGGGTGTATATTTCTCTGAGGGGGACACGCTATGTGGGGTGTATATTTCTATGAGGGGGACACGCTATGTGGGGTGTATATCTCTGGGGGGGACACGCTATGTGGGGTGTATATCTCTGGGAGGGGGACACGCTATGTGGGTGTATATCTCTGGGAGGGGGACACGCTATGTGAGGTGTATATCTCTGGGAGGGGGACACGCTATGTTGGGTGTATATTTCTATGAGGAGGACACGCTATGTGGGGTGTATATTTCTATGAGGGGACACGCTATGTGGGGTGTATATTTCTATGAGGGGGACACGCTATGTGGGGTGTATATTTCTATGAGGGGGACACGCTATGTGGGGTGTATATTTCTATGAGGGGGACACGCTATGTAGGGTGTATACATGGGTGAGGTTGTTGGCCCATTGTGGATTGTGACTGACCCAGCCAGGACGGGCCCTTTAAGAGGCTAGTCTGGTGTCCCTTCCATAGCGTGTCCCGGTTGGGTCTGTCACGCTGATGTTACATTGGTATGGTGGTGTACATTGCAGCATGTGGGTGTTGTGTTGGTGATGGTGGTTTTTCCTGCTGTGTGGGTGACAACCAGCTAGGAGAAGATTGGTATGAAAGTAAGACGCATCCGATTGTCCTGGATAATGTGTAGTCCACATGTAACCCCCCCCCCCATTTCAGTGAGTGTACTCCCCCAAATATGACCCCTCCCCCAGACTTGACTCCCAGTGTTTCTAACCCCTAATGTAGCGGTGTGCATAGCGTAGTGACACGCGGGTGACCCTCCACGCCGTATACCAGTTACTAAGTGACTCCATTCTCTGAAATTAGAGGAGGACGTGATTGGTTCCCAGTCCAGGTATGGTGACTTTCTAGGACACCAAGCGACCTATACAGGATTATTCCATAAGATGGTGAAGGAATCAGTAAGTGCCCATTCAACCAATCAGAATCTACCTTGTCTTGGTCTGACTTCCGCATGAGGTCATTCAGTTGGTTGCTATGGGCACTGCCACTGCGGGGGTCTCATGAATAGTGTCAGTAGTGACATTATGGATGTGACCCACAATACCCATTTATATCTTGCCCCCCATCATCTGCCCACAATGCAAACATGACAGCTAGTATGTGGTTGGTTGGACAAGAGGTCTGCTCCCAGGAATATATTCTGCACACATGGAACAGGACAGAGAGTCGGGGGTCTCCTACCTTCTTGTCGGAAGGTCCATGTACCAGGCTGGTGCTCTCCGTGGCAGGGGGTTTGGAGGGAGCTTCCTCCTTCTCCTTCTCCTCCTTTTCCTTCTCCTTTTCCTTCTCTTCTTTTTCCTTCTCTTCCTTTTCCTTCTCTTCCTTCTCCTTCTCCTTCTTCTCCTTCTCCTCCTTCTCCTTCTCTTCCTTCTCCTTCTTCTCCTTCTCTTCCTTCTCCTTCTTCTCCTTCTCTTCCTTCTCCTTCTTCTCCTTCTCTTCCTTCTCCTTCTTTCCTTCTCTTCTTCTCCTTCTCTTCCTTCTCCTTCTTCTCCTTCTCTTCCTTCTCCTTCTTTTCCTTCTCCTTCTCTTCTTCTCCTTCTCCTTCTCCTTCTTCTCCTTCTCTTCTCTCTCCTTCTCCTTCTTCTCCTTCTCTCCTTCTCCTTCTTCTCCTTCTCTTCCTTCTCCTTCTTCTCTTCTTCTTCCTTCTTCTCCTTCTCTTCTTCTCCTTCTTCTCTTCTCTTCCTTCTCCTTCTCCTCGGGCTGCATGTTGGTGGGTGACAACAAGGGTCCTAGAGCAGCCGAGTCCTGCCTTCACCCAGGTGTCCTCCTCTGCATACGTTGTATCACTCTCTACACACGTTGTATCTCTCTACATACGTTGTGTCTCTCACTCTGTATACGTTGTATCCTTCTCCCCATACGCTGTATCCTTGTGCAGTGTGTGATGTCGTCCTCCAGCACTCAGTGGTCCTTCCTTATCTCTCCTCCTCCTCCTCCTCCCTTCTCCCTCCCCGGCAGTGAGCCTCCCATCCTTCTGTCAGTCATGTATATCAGGATTCAGGTAAATAACCTGCTGCCGTCCTTCCTCCACCTAGCAATATGTCAGTATGGCCGTCTGTGCCTCCTCGCCCTCATATTCAGGTAGACTTGTCGTTTCCGGGAAACATCTTCTGCTTCCCCAGTTGCCATCTCCACTCTCAGGTGATTTTGCTATCATCCCCTCTGCGGAAAACATGTATCTCTCCTCCATCCTGGTGACAGATAATATATTGGATATCTCTCTGGTATTCGAATGTGGTCACCTCCTATCACTGGAGCCCACCTCCACCTTGAATGATGTGCAATGGTAGAATTGTTGTTGTAGTAATAGTGGAAGGGGAGTCGCTCCTCTGTAGGGATCGGGTGAGGAGCATTCAGGGTGGAAATTTCTGGTAAACACAACATAGAATTTAGCAGAATATTACAGTCAGAAGAGTTTGGGGTCCTCTGTTCTCCCCTGTTCTCCATAGAACATTATGTACCCCTAACTGTGGCCCCTGAATGCCCCCGACATGCCCAGGTTGCTTTGCACCTTTTCATGTCCCCCGGAGAATCGTTTAGTTGGAGAATGAAGGCGTTGTCGGAGGATCGAGTGTAGTGACAGTCACATGCCTTCCATCCGTCATCACTGTGATTGTGCCAGGAAAATGTTTTCTAATAAATCTCTCCTATCAATGAACAGAGAGCTCAGCCCTTCTGTACCTCACATCTGGGTGTCTTCACTGTACACCCTCCAGGTGGACGGACAGATGGAGAGCTATTCCCACTTATCCTTCTACAGAGATCATTCTGCAAATAGGTACAGGGGTCCTGGATGTACTTGCCTCTTCTATATGAGGGTCTCAGAGTCCTCTTAGTTTTCTCTCTCACTCTCTCTCTATATATATATATGGTATAGGGGTCCAGCAATACCTCCTCCTCCTGTATGGGGGGTCTCAGAGCCCCTCTGAGTTTAGTCTGAATATATACAGTATATATAAAGTATCAGGATCCTAGTAATATCTCTTCCTCCTGTATGGGGGGTCTTAGAACCTCTCTGTGTTTAGTCTGGATATACATCTATACAGTATATTTGAAGTATAGGGGTCCAGCGGTACCTCCTCCTCCTGTATGGGGGTGTCACGATCAGGGGTCAGGCTCGAAGACCAGTTGCTATAGCAGTGGAAAGGCTCACCTGCAAAAAGCAAGATAGGTACACAGGCAGGTCACTGTGGCAGAGGAGTGGGATCACCCGAGGTGCGGAGTCCCAACCAGTGTTCACTAGAGCCCCTTATGGTGGAGATGGATTTTGCTGCGTGTTAGCACCAGGTTGCAGTCCTCAGGATCACCCCACCAGGAGGTGAGCAAGCGGAGGTCCTGTAGCGTATAAGCAGGTAAGGATCAAACGGAAGTATGGTCAGTAAACAAGCCAAGGTCGGTAATGAGCAGTCGCAGGTTGGGATCAAGCAGAAGCGTAGTCGAGAACAAGCCAAGGTCGGTAAGGAGCAGTCACAGGTTGGGATCAGGCAGAAGCATAGCCGAGAACAAGCCATGGTCGGTAAGGAGCAGTCACAGGTTGGGATCAGGCAGAAGCGTAGTCAAGAACAAGTCAAGGTCGGTAATGAGCAGTCGCAGGTTGGGATCAGCAGAAGCATAGTCGAGAACAAGCCAAGGTCGGTAAGGAGCAGTCGCAGGTTGGGATCAGGCAGAAGCGTAGTCGAGAACAAGCCAAGGTCGGTAAGGAGCAGTCACAGGTTGGGATCAGGCAGAAGCATAGCCGAGAACAAGCCAAGGTCGGTAAGGAGCAGTCACAGGTTGGGATCAGGCAGAAGCGTAGTCAAGAACAAGCCAAGGTCGGTAATGAGCAGTCGCAGGTTGGGATCAGGCAGAAGCATAGTCGAGAACAAGCCATGGTCGGTAAGGAGCAGTCACAGGTTGGGATCAGGCAGAAGCATAGCCGAGAACAAGCCAAGGTCGGTAAGGAGCAGTCACAGGTTGGGATCAGGCAGAAGCGTAGTCAAGAACAAGCCAAGGTCGGTAATGAGCAGTCGCAGGTTGGGATCAGGCAGAAGCATAGTCGAGAACAAGCCATGGTCGGTAAGGAGCAGTCACAGGTTGGGATCAGGCAGAAGCGTAGTCAACAACAAGTCAAGGTCGGTAATGAGCAGTCGCAGGTTGGGATCAGGCAGAAGCATAGTCGAGAACAAGCCAAGGTCGGTAAGGAGCAGTCGCAGGTTGGGATCAGGCAGAAGCATAGTCGAGAACAAGCCAAGGTCGGTAATGAGCAGTCGCAGGTTGGGATCAGGCAGAAGCGTAGTCGAGAACAAGCCAAGGTCGGTAAGGAGCAGTCACAGGTTGGGATCAGGCAGAAGCATAGCCGAGAACAAGCCAAGGTCGGTAAGGAGCAGTCACAGGTTGGGATCAGGCAGAAGCGTAGTCAAGAACAAGCCAAGGTCGGTAATGAGCAGTCGCAGGTTGGGATCAGGCAGAAGCATAGTCGAGAACAAGCCAAGGTCGGTAATGAACAGTCGCAGGTTGGGATCAGGCAGAAGCGTAGTCGAGAACAAGCCAAGGTCGGTAATGAGCAGTCGCAGGTTGGGATCAGGCAGAAGCGTAGTCGAGAACAAGCCAAGGTCGGTAATGAGCAGTCGCAGGTTGGGATCAGGCAGAAGCGTAGTCGAGAACAAGCAAAGGTCGGTAATGAGCAGCCAGGTCGCAGGTTGGGGATCAGGCAGAAGCATAGTCGAGAACAAGCCAAGGTCGGTAATGAGCAGTCGCAGGTTGGGATCAGGCAGAAGCGTAGTCGAGAACAAGCCAAGGTCGGTAAGGAGCAGTCACAGGTTGGGATCAGGCAGAAGCATAGTCGAGAACAAGCCAAGGTCGGTAAGGAGCAGTCACAGGTTGGGATCAGGCAGAAGCATAGTCGAGAACAAGCCATGGTCGGTAAGGAGCAGTCACAGGTTGGGATCAGGCAGAAGCGTAGTCAAGAACAAGTCAAGGTCGGTAATGAGCAGTCGCAGGTTTGGATCAGGCAGATCAGGTCAGAAGCATAGTCGAGAACAAGCCATGGTCGGTAAGGAGCAGTCACAGGTTGGGATCAGGCAGAAGCGTAGTCAAGAACAAGTCAAGGTCGGTAATGAGCAGTCGCAGGTTGGGATCAGGCAGAAGCATAGTCGAGAACAAGCCAAGGTTGGTAAGGAGCAGTCGCAGGTTGGGATCAGGCAGAAGCATAGTCGAGAACAAGCCAAGGTCGGTAATGAGCAGTCGCAGGTTGGGATCAGGCAGAAGCGTAGTCGAGAACAAGCCAAGGTCGGTAAGGAGCAGTCACAGGTTGGGATCAGGCAGAAGCATAGCCGAGAACAAGCCAAGGTCGGTAAGGAGCAGTCACAGGTTGGGATCAGGCAGAAGCGTAGTCAAGAACAAGCCAAGGTCGGTAATGAGCAGTCGCAGGTTGGGATCAGGCAGAAGCATAGTCGAGAACAAGCCAAGGTCGGTAATGAACAGTCGCAGGTTGGGATCAGGCAGAAGCGTAGTCGAGAACAAGCCAAGGTCGGTAATGAGCAGTCGCAGGTTGGGATCAGGCAGAAGCATAGTCGAGAACAAGCCAAGGTCGGTAATGAGCAGCAGTCGCAGGTTGGATCAGGCAGAAGCGTAGTCGAGAACAAGCCAAGGTCGGTAATGAGCAGTCGCAGGTTGGGATCAGGCAGAAGCGTAGTCGAGAACAAGCAAAGGTCGGTAATGAGCAGTCGCAGGTTGAGATCAGGCAGAAGCATAGTCGAGAACAAGCCAAGGTCGGTAATGAGCAGTCGCAGGTTGGGATGGGATCAGGCAGAAGCCAAGTCGGTAAGTCGAGATCAGGCAGAAGCGTAGTCGAGAACAAGCCAAGGTCGGTAATGAACAGTCGCAGGTTGGGATCAGGCAGAAGCATAGTCGAGAACAAGCCAAGATCGGTAATGAGCAGTCGCAGGTTGGGATCAGGCAGAAGCATAGTCGAGAACAAGCCAAGGTCGGCAATGAGCAGTCGCAGGTTGGGATCAGGCAGAAGCGTAGTCGAGAACAAGCCAAGGTCGGTAATGAGCAGTCGCAGGTTGGGATCAGGCAGAAGCGTAGTCGAGAACAAGCCAAGGTCGGTAATGAGCAGTCGCAGGTTGGGATCAGGCAGAAGCGTAGTCGAGAACAAGCCAAGGTCGGTAATGAGCAGTCGCAGGTTGGGATCAGGCAGAAGCGTAGTCGAGAACAAGCCAAGGTCGGTAATGAACAGTCGCAGGTTGGGATCAGGCAGAAGCGTAGTCGAGAACAAGCCAAGGTCGGTAATGAGCAGTCGCAGGTTGGGATCAGGCAGAAGCGTAGTCGAGAACAAGCCAAGGTCGGTAATGAGCAGTCGCAGGTTGGGATCAGGCAGAAGCATAGTCGAGAACAAGCCAAGGTCGGTAATGAGCAGTCGCAGGTTGGGATCAGGCAGAAGCATAGTCGAGAAGTCAACAAGCAAGGTCGGTAATGAAGGTCAGGCAGAAGCATGAGCGAGAACAAGCCAAGGTTGGGTAATGAGCAGTCGCAGGTTGGGATCAGGCAGAAGCGTAGTCGAGAACAAGCCAAGGTCGAGCAGTCGCAGGTTGGGATCAGAGAAGCAGTCGAGAACAAGCCAAGGTTGGGATCAGGCAGAAGCGTAGTCGAGAACAAGCCAAGGTCGGTAAGTCGCAGGTGAGCAGTCGCAGGGTCGGTAATTGGTTGGGATCAGGCAGAAGCGTAGTCGAGAACAAGCCAAGGTCGGTAATGAGCAGTCGCAGGTTGGGATCAGGCAGAAGCGTAGTCGAGAACAAGCCAAGGTCGGTAATGAACAGTCGCAGGTTGGGATCAGGCAGAAGCGTAGTCGAGAACAAGCCAAGGTCGGTAATGAGCAGTCGCAGGTTGGGATAAGGCAGAAGCGTAGTCGAGAACAAGCCAAGGTCGGTGTCAGGGCTCCGGGTATGACCAGAGGTGTGTGGACTGACACAGGGAAACACAGACTTCAGGTATAGCGTGTAAAACAATATAATTTATTAAGGGCAACACAAACATAAACGCAGTGCAAACAACCAAACTCAAAGCTAACACAAATACATACAACAAGGTGAAAACAAACCCAAACCTTAACTGATATATATATATATATATGTATACAAGGGAGAGGTGCAGCGCTATCTATATGAATATACTTATATACTTAAATATAAATATAAATATAAGTCAAGTCAATAAAAGGTGCTATTATAGTGCAAAGGTGACTAAATGGTAAATTCAGTCCATAACGTGCTCAGAATCCAAAAGAGTCCTTTAAGAGCTCCAGTCCCTGGATTCGTGGATAAGGTGATAAAAGTAAGAATTGCGCACTCACCAAATGCGCAATTCAAATGCGCATTAACAGCTGATATTCCAGGGTCCTCATATGGATCTGGTCAGGTCTGGTCATAGAAAGCCCTCCGCCACCTGGTAGTGTACTCCACACTTAGAGGAAAAAGCCGTTCTGCAGATGTAAAGGACTCTCACCAGAGCCCAAAGAACAAAGGAGGCCAAATAGTGTGATACCAGATAGGTAAGGGGTGTTTATTCCCAAAAACACACAATATAGTATACAGGCAGAGGCAGGAAGGATACTGACCATACACTGGATATGTGAATAATGGATGGCCGCCGGGGCCCTCGTGGCGCCGGTCGGCGTGACACAACACCGCTTGTAGCCGCTCCCACGACCGGGCGCACGAGGGCCCCCGGCGGCCATCCATTATTCACATATCCAGTGTATGGTCAGTATCCTTCCTGCCTCTGCCTGTATACTATATTGTGTGTTTTTGGGAATAAACACCCCTTACCTATCTGGTATCACACTATTTGGCCTCCTTTGTTCTTTGGGCTCTGGTGAGAGTCCTTTACATCTGCAGAACGGCTTTTTCCTCTAAGTGTGGAGTACACTACCAGGTGGCGGAGGGCTTTCTATGACCAGACCTGACCAGATCCATATGAGGACCCTGGAATATCAGCTGTTAATGCGCATTTTTGAATTGCGCATTTGGTGAGTGCGCAATTCTTACTTTTATCACCTTATCCACGAATCCAGGGACTGGAGCTCTTAAAGGACTCTTTTGGATTCTGAGCACGTTATGGACTGAATTTACCATTTAGTCACCATTTGCACTATAATAGCACCTTTTATTGACTTATATTTATTTATATTTAAGTATATAAGTATATTCATATAGATAGCGCTGCACCTCTCCCTTGTATACATTTCTATTGAGAAGGTTCATATGGTACCTCTTTGGTGTTCAGCTGCTGTTCTCTTCTTTTATACTTTGTGATTTTATATTAGTTGTTTTTAAGCGCTCACTTATTTTTGAAATATATATATATATATGGAGCACAACGTAGTCAGGCGGGCCGGGTCAGTAGCTAACGGGTAGACAAGGTACAAGGAGTAGGCAGAAGACTGGTCAGGAGTAGCCGAGGTCGGTGCAGGCAGAGTTCAAGCAGAGTCAGGATCAGGCAGGAAGCAGACAGGATGCAGGTACAGGGGCTCATGGGAACAATACACCAAGGCCCTGACTGCAGGCCTGGCCATTCCTTAAATACACCTCCTGCAATCAGCCTCAGGTGATGGCTTGATTGCAGGAGTGAGCTTCTGGCTGAGAGAGCACCCGCTGGCCAGCCCTGGTACTGCAGCCCACAAGGCAGGTGAGTCCCACCACCATTGGCGAGTCCATTCCTGACAGTCGGTAATGAGCAGTCACAGTTGGGATCAGGCAGAAGCGTAGTCGAGAACAGGCCAAGGTCGGTAATGAACAGTCACAGGTTGGGATCAGGCAGAAGCGTAGTCGAGAACAAGCCAAGGTTGGTAATGTTACTGACACCACACACCGTACAACCGACTACAGTCACACAGACACCACACACCGTACACACCGACTACAGTCACACACTGACACCACACCGTACACCGACTACAGTCACACGCTGACACCACACTGTACACCGACTACAGTCACACGCTGACACCACACCGTACACCGACTACAGTCACACTGACACCACCGTACACCGACTACAGTCACACGCTGACACCACACCGTACACCGACTACAGTCACACGCTGACACCACACCCGAAGCACACCGTACCACACCCGGTACACCGACTACAGTCACACGCTGACACCACCAGTACACCACCGTACACACCGACACAGTCACACGCTGACACCACACACCGTACACCGACTACAGTCACACGCTGACACCACACCGTACACCGACTACAGTCACACGCTGACACCACACCGTACACCGACTACAGTCCACACGCTGACACCACACCGTACACCGACTACAGTCACACGCTGACACCACACCGTACACCGAACTACAGTCACACGCTGACACCACACCGTACACCGACTACAGTCACACACTGACACACACACCGTACACCGACTACAGTCACACACTGACACTGACACCGACACAGCGTGACACCACACACCGACTACAGTCACACGCTGACACCACCGTACGTACACCGACTACAGCACACACTGACACCACACCGTACACCGACTACAGTCACACACTGACACCACACCGTACACCGACTACAGTCACACACTGACACCACACCGTACACCGACTACAGTCACACACTGACACCACGACTGACACCACACACGTACACCGACTACAGTCACACACTGACACCACACCGTACACCGACTACAGTCACACACTGACACCACACCGTACACCGACTACAGCCACACACTGACACCACACCGTACACCGACTACAGCCACACACTGCCACACCGTACACCGACACCACACACTGACACCACACCGTACACCGACTACAGTCACACACTGACACCACCACCTGACTGACCGTACACCGACACACACACTGACACCACACCGTACACCGACTACAGCCACACACTGACACCACACCGTACACCGACTACAGTCACACACTGACACCACACCGTACACCGACTACAGCCACACACTGACACCACACCGTACACCGACTACAGTCACACACTGACACCACACCGTACACCGACTACAGCCACACACTGACACCACACCCGTACACCGACTACAGTCACACACTGACACCACACCGTACACCGACTACAGTCACACACTGACACCACACCGTACACCGACTACAGTCACACACTGACACCACACCGTACACCGACACAGTCACACACTGACACCACACCGTACACCGACTACAGCCACACACTGACACCACACCGTACACCGACTACAGTCACACCTGACACCACACCGTACACCGACTAAACCGACACCTACACATCCGACTACAGCACACACTGACACCACACCGTACACCGACTACAGTCACACACTGACACCACACCGTACACCGACTACAGCCACACACTGACACCACACCGTACACACACCGTACACACTGACACACACTACACCGACTACACACACACTGACACCACACCGTACACCGACTACAGTCACACTGACACTGACACCGACTACACCACACACTGACACCACACTACAGACTACACACACTGACACCACACCGTACACCGACTACAGCCACACACTGACACCACACCGTACACCGACTACAGTCACACACTGACACCACACCGTACACCGACTACAGCCACACACTGACACCACACCGTACACCGACTACAGCCACACACTGACACCACACCGTACACCGACTACAGTCCACACACTGACACCACACCGTACACCGACTACAGTCACACACTGACACCACACCGTACACCGACTACAGTCACACACTGACACCACACCGTACACCGACTACAGTCACACACTGACACCACACCCGTACACCGACTACAGTCCACACACTGACACCACACCGTACACCACACCTACACCACACGACACCACACACCGTACCACACACTGACTACAGTCCACACACTGACACCACACCGTACACCGACTACAGCCACACACTGACACCACACCGTACACCGTACAGTCCACACACAGACACCACACCGTACACACTACAGCACACACTGACACCACACCGTACACCGACTACAGCCACACACTGACACCACACCGTACACCGACTACAGTCACACACACACCACACCGACAGCCACACACTGACACCACACCGTACACCGACTACAGCCACACACTGACACCACACCGTACACCGACTACAGCCACACTGACACCACACCGTACACCGACTACAGCCACACACTGACACCACACCGTACACCGACTACAGTCACACACTGACACCACACCGTACACCGACTACAGTCACACACACTGACACCACACCGTACACCGACTACAGCCACACACTGACACCACCAAGCCATA